AAGGAAATTTATTTGAGAGTAAGTCCGTTTTTAATCTTATTAGTAAGGAGTTAAGTTTACTTTTTTTTTAATCTCAAAAATATCCTTAACAGTGTTAGTTTGGTCAGTTATGGAAAATTGAAGACATTATTTACAATGAGCAATATATAGAGGTCAATGATTGAATATATGAATGCTTGATTTACGATGGTAATTGTTGATTACAAGCTTTCCATAATATTTCAAATTCAAATTCTTAAGTCATTATTTTGTCTATTATACATTTAAATAATCGAATTTTGAGATTTGAGACTAATTTGTAAGGGATGAAGGTTGAAGTTGGAGTATAAGCTCAAGATTTTAAAAAAGTAACATAGGCAGTGCACACCAAGTACTTGATGTTAGCATAATAATATCAGTTCAGTAACATCAATTTCAAAACGTAATTTACTAACACATATCACCATTTATTTTTCATGTTACTATTTTTTATTGAGCATCTTATTACTTTTTCAGTGTTACTTGAAGAATTGAAGGTTTCTTCCTCTAGTTATGAGTTTGAATGATATTATTTTTAATTTTAATTTTGTTCAATGTTTCATATTGCTATTTTTTTTGTTGAATATGTTACTATTTTTGTTAAGTACGTTATTATTTTTATTAAACATGTTACTATTTTAATTGAATATGTTACTATTATTATTTTTTTAAAATATTAATATTGAATGCTACTATTTTTTTTATGTTTAAATGTTACTATTTTTTTGTGTTCAAATGTTACTATTTTTTGTGTTTAAATGATATTTTTTTTTATATTTGAATGTTACTATTTTTTATTTTTAATGTTACTATATATATATATATATATATATATATATATAGATACTAGTTATTCCCTGTGCCTGAAGATACCGAGTAATAAAAAAAAAATCAACATATTTATATTCACACTCAAAATTAAACCACAAACATAGAGGAGAGATAAAAAAATTTAAACACCGATTGTAGTAGGGATGAGCGGTGGTAGTGGTGGGTGGGCGACAGTGGTGATGGTGGGAGACGGTGATGCTTGTGGTGGGTAAGGTGACGACCGTGGGGGTGGTAGCAACCGTGGGTGACAATGGTGACGGTGGTGGTGGATTTTAAGTGACGATGATGGTAATAACAGCCGTGGGTGGCAATGGTGATGGTGGACGATGAAGATAGTAGTTGGCAGTAGTGGTGGTGGGCGGTAATAATGGTAGTGGTGGACGACGATGGATACTTCTAGGCGACAATGTGATATGTGGTGATGAATGACGATGATGGTAAGTGTGGTGGGGGTAGGTGATAGTTGGTGGCTGCAATGGTAGACGATGATAGGTGGTGGTGGTAGGTGTGGTGTGGTAGGTGATAGTGGCTGGTGGTGATGTTCTGCAACGATGGGTGGTGGTGGGTATTGATGGTGGGCGACAATGGTAGTGAAATAATGGTGGTAATGGTAATAAATATAAGAATAAGATGACAATAGTTGTAGGTGATGGTCATGGACAACGATGGTAACAATTAATGGTGGGTGGCGGTAGGGCAAAAAGGGTGGGGGTGGGGCAGTGGCGATGGTAGGGGTAGTTGTGGTGGTCATGGGGGTGGTAGGGGTGATGGTGAGACAGTAGCAGCGATGGTAAGGTGTGACAGCAATGATAATGATGGTAGAGTGCGATAGCGGTGGTGATGGGGTAGTGGTAGTGATGATGGTGGGGTGGTGGTGGTAGTGGTGGGCAGTGGTGGTGGTGGGGCAATGAAAGTGGTGATGGTGGTGATAAGGTGGTGACAGCAGTTGTGGGGTTGGTGGCAGCGACGGTGGCGATGATGGTGGGGGTGATGACATTGATGGTGGTAGTGGTGAGGGTGGTAGAGTGGTGGGGGTGGTGGTGGTAGAGGTAGTGTTGGGGAGGTTTCAAACACTATTTTTTTTTAAGTACTTATGCAAAATAATTCAAAAAAATATTTTTAAAAAGTCATTCTAAGCACACCTTTAGATGACTATTCTTCCTATTAAATTTGAGGTGTTAATATTAGCTGTTAGATTATTTTTAAAGTAAAATTTAAAACGATTTCAACTGCAAATAACAAAAATCATTTTGTTTATCTTTTGAAAATTGAATTGTATTTTACTTTATTATATATATATATAGACCGTTAATCATGATCTCACGGTTATTAGACAAAGACACTCAAAATTAATTATCAAAACCTACAAAATTTAGTTCTTTACTAAATAGGAAATATCTATGACATATTTATTGTGATTTATTCCTATTAGGAAAGTCTTAAAGATTAATAATATAAAAAATTATGACTCCTTTTAAATATAATGTATCGACCTAATAACCGGATTATTTTCATTTTTATTCATCTAATTTATTATACCTGTTTGGGATTAAAAAAACTATGTCTGTCTCCTAGTAAGGCGCAAAAGTTCGTAGCAGACTAGCAGTGCAATGTTTGTGCTACCTTGTTGTCTATCCATTAGCTAAGGTAATTTCTTACATCATCATGATTCAACCCTTGTTGCATGCATGCCCAGTAGGACTTTAAGTCTTTTGAATAGTTTAATTAATCAATTGGTCAGTTGATTGATTATTTGGTAATTTGATCAAAGAATTATAAATATCTATAACCCGTTATATTTATTTTTATTTTTTTAACCTAAACAAGTATAATAAACTAGATGGATAAATATAAAAAATATCTAGGTCATTGGGTCGATTCGTTAGTATTTAAGAGGAGTTAAATTTTTTTTATTAACTTTTAAAACTTTTATAATAGGACTAGATCACAATAAATATGTCATATATATTTCTTATTTAGTGAAGAACTAAATTTGATATGTCTTCATAATTAATTTTGAGCATCTTTGCCTAGTAATCATTAAATAATGATCTAACGTTCTACATAAAAAATATCCATTAAAGGCTATTGTGCAACCTGCTGAGTCTTCGGATTTAGATCCCCTCCATTTTCCTTCCCTTCAATTTTTCTCAATGTAGTTCTAGTTGAGTGACATGTGTAAAATTTTAAATTTCAATGGATAAAATTTTTTTTCATTCATTTTATTATTGGTGGAGTGTTAATCATTATTAGAGAATTTTTCCACAAAGAAAAAATTTTATACATTGAAATTTAAAATTTTACACATGTCACTCATCTAATAACGTATTAAAGGAAATATGTAATGAAGGGGATCCGAATCCCCGAGTCTCCATCATTGTGTTACTCTCTCTATAGGGCCCGTTTGTTTCAAGTATAAAATTTATGTGATATAAGATTTTATATTCATTCAACTTCAATCCAATGGTATATTATACCTGATTTTAAACTATAATTTCATCATTCCCCTTATTTGTTTGTCACAAACATTATGTATGTAATACCTACTTAAAAAAGTCAACAATTGCGGCTAACCAATATAAAAAGATAGTTTTAACCTTAAAAAGTCAAAAATTGCAACTAGGCTTTCATATACCTGAGGGTATTTTGGTCTTTTTAGTTTATTATATCTCAATTCATTTATACCTAAAATATTATACCATATGTGGTATTGAATAACACCGTGTAGAAGACATTAGTGTTANGAAAGTTCCTCTTTCTCATATTATTGTGAGCTGGACAGCTTTGTGTGGAACATTGTATGATTTATTTCCATAGTTGTGTTTGTATGATGTTATTTTGGCTGGACAACTTTTCCACTTTTCTATATTATCTTATTAATAAAATTACTGNATTATATCTCAATTCATTTATACCTAAAATATTATACCATATGTGGTATTGAATAACACCGTGTAGAAGACATTAGTGTTACTGTTCACATTGGGTCGATACTATGAATCGAAAATTAATACCTAATAAAAAATGTCAAACAAACAAGATTTAAAATAGGTCCCACGTATTATTTTCCTTATACCACCCCTTTGTACCATCCTNTACTGTTCACATTGGGTCGATACTATGAATCGAAAATTAATACCTAATAAAAAATGCCAAACAAACAAGATTTAAAATAGGTCCCACGTATTATTTTCCTTATACCACCCCTTTGTACCATCTTNAGAAGAAGTCTAAGCATTCCACAGTTGCACTTAAAAGTACAATCTAGAGTTATTACTTACTTAAGTTGCTCACTAATAACATGAGAATTTACTAAAATACCCTTAGACTGTTTTTACATGTAGATAGTTATAATTAGGGCTTGGAGAGAGAAAAATTGATGGTTCTATTCACACCCAATGACTTTTTACAGAGTTTATTCTATTCTAAATTTCTAACGCATGTGTATTATATTCACCTTGAGTACAACGTAAGTCTCCCTTNTTTATACATCAAAAGCGTGTTTGTTTCGAGTATAAAATTTATGTGGTATAAAGTTTTATATCTATTCCACTTCAATCTAATAGTATATTATACCTGATGTTAAACTATAATCTCATCATTCTCTTTGTTTGTTTATTACAAATATTATTTGTGTAATATCTACTTAAAAAAATCAACAATTGCGGCTAACTAATATAAAAGACAATTTTAATATTTAAAAAGTCAAAAATTACTGCTAGACTTTTATATGAGAATTGTATCGGATGACATTTTGATCTTTTTAATTTATAATACTTATACCAAGAATATAATATCACCCCTATGTGGTATTCATTAAGACTTTCTNAGACTTTTATATGAGAATTGTATCGGATGACATTTTGATCTTTTTAATTTATAATAATTATACCAAGAATATAATATCACCCCTATGTGGTATTCATTAAGACTTTCTATAAGACATTATGACTATTGTTCATAACGGGTCAATATTACGATCTAAAAAATAATATTAACTATAAAATATTAAACAAATAATATATAAGATGAATCTCACGCATTATTTTTTTAATACCACCCTTTCGTACTACTCTAATACTCAAAATAAATTGCCCCAAACAAACAGCCCCACGTACTGTTTTTTTAAGGCTCGGCTCCTTCAAGTTGATTTGACTATCGGCCTCCTAGATGATAGTCTAAGGTTTGACTGTTCCACGCCCTTATCCACCGCAGAATGGAAATGAAAGCGAGCTCAAGTTAAACATCAGATTCTGTTGCGTCCAACTCTTTCATTTTCGTACCACTACTCTCTCTCTCTCTCTTATTATGAAAAATTGCCGAAGACAGAAGAAATCACTCGTCCAATATTGGTGCTACTACTGTATTCTTCCCCATGTATAATTATTAATCTCACTCTTACATATACAAGTATAAGTAAACATTTGTTTAATCGGTTTTACCTGATTTTATTCTCACCATTCGTCCTCGTTTCTTTCCTTGAAACACCACAAATAGGGTTTGACATTTACACCGACGACGAACATTTACGCTATTCGTTTCTGCAATTGTTTCCAAAGAACTCGAAACCCAGGTTGGGTGTTGAATTTCGTTGTAATTGATTTTTTTTGGTAGATTGATTGCTGATATGTAGTTATATCTTTGTATTATTTGTGTTCTAATTTGCTAAATTGAATGACTCAGAGTAGGTATTGGATTGGATGGATTGAAGAAAAAATGTGAAGTTTTGATTTTATTGGTGGGTCTTTCAAATGGGTATCATGCACGTGATGGGTTTTAGTTGTTTTGGTGCGTTCGATTCGTGTAAAGGCGATATTGGAACCCGGACAGAAGGTAAGGCGATTTTTTGTGATTATCTTTTCATGCAAAGAACTAAATTTCATCTCGAAACGGTTGTTTCCATAAAAATTGTAACGAATCATTGAATATCAAAATTTTTATACTTTTATTGCGAGACGTTGTCTCGTGGTTGTTCAGTAGATTTCGAGTGTTTCGGCATGTTTTAACTTATTCTTTGGTATGTTTCAAGTTTTTACCGGAAATAAATTTTTAAATTTTTCTTTGTTTCTATTTGTTTGTGAAATATTTTCAAAATATTACCGAAACTCGAAATTATGGATTGAAATGAAATTTTGATCCATACTTATATTATATATAGCCTCAACAAAGAGTTTTTTTTTTTTACATCAGTCAAATTTAGCTTATTGGCATTATTGTGATCCCTTGATCACTTTGAATTTTAATATATTTTGGTTGGATGCTATTGGATTCAGTGTTTAATTGAATTCATAACAATAATCATGTCATTGAAATTTAGTTCATTGGATTTATTGTGAGTCCAGTATTCAGCATAATGCCTGTAAATAATTGTGTAAAATCATACTTTGTGTTGGACCACTCAAGCTTAATTAAACCAGCCTGGGTTCAAATTTAGGTCTGAATCCGGAGACCGGGCTTGTCCCAACCCCGAAAGGCATGCTTGAACTGCTTAGAATTTGAATTTAGGACCAACTCGCTGTGTTTTTTTGGTGCAAGTTTAGCTGCACTTGCAGGCTCCCTAAGTTTGTGTGCTACTGTGTACAAATGTTTCTTGAATAATGTTCCTCTCTTGTCCCATTTGTGGTTCATAATTCTGATGTAAGGTTCACATTGCATGGTGGTTTTCTATTGCTTGTATTGTTATAAGTTTAACTGGTGGTTGCTTTTGTTTGTAATTACTGCTCTGTAATTTGCCTCACAAGGTCTTTACCTGCTTGCGTCCTTGTGTTTGTGCATGGGTAGAGATTGCTACCAACAATGTAAGGCTTTATTCCTACCACTCGTTGAGAGCGGCGACAGGGAACTTCCATCCATCAAACAGAATAGGTCGGGGTGGTTTTGGAGTAGTGTATAGGGTAAGTTTAATATGTTGTAATGATTTACTTTCTGTTTACTCTGCATCTTTTGGGGGATAGAGAGGAAATGAGAGCTGAGAAATTTATAATATCTTGACCTCAGATGTTTGTGCAGGCAAACTTCTAGTCTTTTAATGCTTTTGATTTTATGTGTTACTTAGCCAGCTTTACTTTATATAATTGCAGGGAATTTTAAGAGACGGAACTCAGGTGGCCATTAAGTCTCTTTCTGCAGAGTCAAAACAAGGAACTGATGAGTTCTTGACAGAGATTAACGTGATCTCAAACATTCGACATACGAACCTGGTCCAGCTGCTTGGTTGTTGTGTTGAGGACACTAATCGGATATTAGTATATGAATATATGGAGAACAACAGCCTTGCTGGTGCTTTACTAGGTAATTAGTAACTGTCGGAAGGATTCAAACCAACCCCAGGGTCAGCACAGTTGCTGAATAATAAGTTAATCTGCTTTCTACTTTCCATTTTTTCCAACTTCTCTCTTCTTGAATTTGAACCTACAATGAAATTTTGGTTAAGCTGATCTTTAGCCTAATAATGGCAGTTGCGCAGGTGAACCGATAGACTTTTCCCTTCTTCTTTCCGTGGAACGATTGGTTTAAATATTTCGGGTTTATAAACATTAGTTTAAGAGGGCATAATTGTTGAAACCATGAATTCTTGATTGCTCAAGACATTTCTCTTTTGGATAAATGAGGTGTCAATTTTCAGCTAATCTAATGTGTTAGTTTTTTCATTTCAGGTTCTAAAGGTGAACGTGTTCCTCTGGATTGGCCTAAGAGGGCTGCTATTTGTATGGGTACGGCTTCAGGTCTTGTATTTCTTCATGAGGAAGCTGAACTTGCTATAGTCCATCGAGATATAAAAGCCAGTAATATACTTCTTGATGAAAATTTCCGTCCTAAAATAGGGGATTTTGGGCTGGCAAAACTTTTTCCAGACAATGTCACTCATGTTAGTACTCGAGTGGCAGGAACAATGTAAGCATGACTTCCAATGCATTTATAAATTGTAGTTTTTGATTTAATGAGATTTTGAGATATTACTTGGGATAATCTGAACCAAGCATACTTCGCCAGATAACTTGAATGGGTTATACTTTCCAGAGAATTTCTGAGTATTTGGATATCAGGATTGGATGTTGCTTTCAAAAGTTTAATTATACTTGCTTATGCATCATATACTCATGATGCAAACTCACAAGTTGTTATCTGATTTGTACTTCAATATTATGCTGACCTGAGCTACCTTACCTTATCAGTTGTTGCTTCTTTTTTGCATCTCAATGTGCTCTTTAAATGTTTCTGCAGGGGTTACCTAGCTCCTGAGTACGCTTTATTAGGACAACTTACAAAGAAGGCAGACGTGTATAGTTTTGGGGTGCTTATGCTAGAAATCATTAGTGGCAGAAGGAGTAGTAAAGCTGCATTTGGAGAGGAACTGTTGGTCCTGGTGGAGTGGGTATGTTCAAATTTGTTGATTATGCTAAACCACAAGATATATTTTGTTTCATTTGGTTGCTGAGGGAATGTGCGAAAGAGTCTCTTTCAGTTCTAAGCTTCTTTGGGATCTGGGGAGGCTCTTATGGGATTCGTAGTTTTGTGTTATCATCATACATGGAGCATTGTTATATCCTCCTTTTTCCACAAAGAGTAATGAACATTGTAGCATGTCTATTGTCTTTGTAATATGGGATTGTTGCCATAGTACTGTTTCCCTTGGACGAAAGTTCAAGATCCTAAAACATCTTATCCCTGAAATTGTTGAAATTTTATTGGCGAGTGAAGGATTATGATGCCCTTTCATGTACTTAAGGTCTCAAAACTCATATAAGTTGATGACTTCAAACAAAAATTCATATTACAAGTTGGTATTTTTCTGTATACGCTGATTGAAATTTGAATCTCTTTGCAGACATGGAAGCTGAGAGAAATGGGAAGACTTCTTGACGTCGTGGATCCAGAACTACCTGAATATCCCGGGGATGAGGTAATGCGCTTCATTAAAGTTGCACTCTTTTGCACACAAGCTGCTTCTCACCAAAGGCCTTCCATGAAGCAAGTGTTGGAGATGCTTTCCAAAGAGGTTAACCTCAATGAGAAGTTACTAACAGAGCCAGGGCTTTACAGGCCGTATCACTCCCAGCAATCGGGAGGTGGTGGTGCAACTGAGACGTCGTTCTCCCTGGTGAAAAAAGGCAAGCAATCAGACAACAATCCTTCTGTAACTTTGACCCAGCTGGATAATTTCCAGAGTTTCACACAGGTGCTTGCTAGGTGATGCATATATGATATATACCTTTGCTTCGTAATTTGTATTACTCTTTTTGCAATTTTTGTTTCCAGAGCCTGCAAAACAAGGATCCGGATCATTTTCAATGCACTTTTGTTTTAATTCCTTTCTTAACACATCATTCACCATTAATGAGTGAGGGACTCATTTATATGTAATGAGTCCTATTTGAATATATGGTAGATGATATACCAAGAAATTTGAAAAAAAGTGTATTGTAGGAGATGCCATTCGATAAAACACTACCTAGTTTGTTTGTTGGGCTTAATATGTTTGAAAAGTTTAACAGTTATATCATTCAGTTTTCAGGATAGACAAACAACAATAAAATTTATTCTTAAAAATATAATTTTAACTCTTATTTTACTCATTAGAATGAAATTAAATAGCTTATCCAAATTTATTCCAAACAAGAGAGAGGGTAATTGAACCAAAAGAACCTCCCTAATCTTTCTAATGGCCTGAATACCCTGAACAGTCCATTAGAATTGGACATTCATAAAAGGGTAATTTGGAAGTCGGTACAAAAATTTAGACTCATTTGAGTTAAATTATATTAAGTAAACTTATTTGGGTCTTGGTGCATTTTTTAAAAAAAAGACTAAAAGGGTATTTATTACTCCATTACTCTCTTTCATTCTCTCTCTCTATTACTTTTTTACTTTCTCTTCTCTATTTTGTCTTTATCTATTTCTGTAATATTGATAAAAAATTTTAAAAATATATAAAGATTTAAGTTAATTTTTCCATCTCTCTCCCCAAATTTTTTTCTNTTTTTACTTTCTCTTCTCTATTTTGTCTTTATCTATTTCTGTAATATTGATAAAAATTTTTAAAAATATATAAAGATTTAAGTTAATTTTTCCATCTCTCTCCCCAAATTTTTCTCTCTCTCTCACTCATTATCTCCTTATTTTCTTTTTCTCTCCTTATATCAACGTTACACAATACAATTACATGAATCAGTTACATCAATTAGTTACAATTATCCTATAATATACTAAATATTAGTTACACTAACCAATTATACGAAATTACAACATCAATCCAATTTATCATTATGTAATTTACATAAATAAAAGAGTTGCACCATTTAGTATCACGACGTGATTACACTAATTATATACACCAAATTGAGTTTATCATTACACAAAAGACTTTACCATTATACTAAATTTGATATATATGATTGGTGTAATGATGTTGCGATACTAAATAATGCAACTATTTAGTTTATGTAAACAATTGAATGATAAATTGAGTCAATGTTATAAATTTGTGTAATTGTTTGGTATAACTGTTTGGTTTATTAGAATACATGAGTAACTGTTTGGTGTATTATAAGACAATTAGTCATAATTCGTGTCTGAAGGTACGATAGAACAAAAAATTTGAGTCCTAACAAATCGATATCACTATATTAAATAATAATTTTTCTTTCTTCATTTATTTGATTAAATTATTCAAAATTTATTTTTACCCATTATTTTCTTAAAGATATTGACAAATTTTCTCAAAATATGTAATTCGATAAATTTTTTTAACAGTTCTATACTATCGTGTATAGATAATATCTGAAATAAAAATTATATTAAATTATAAGGTAATCAAATATTAAATAATTGAACAAGTGATAGAAATGAGTGATGTGATGGTTTTGGAGGGAGGAAATGTATAAAGGATAAAATTCAATTTTTTATGTGTTTTATTATATAGATTTGTATAAATATAAGAGAAAATTTCATCCATATCTCCTTTAGTTAGGTTTAAATTCAATGACACCTCCTTTCAATTTTGAAATTTTACTATCACTCCCTGTTAGTGATTGTCGGGTTACACCGCTAATGGCAGTGGTTGATTTATAAAAATATCCCCGAGCATTTTATAGGGTAAATTTTATTCACATCCTTTATAAATAAACCTAATTTTAACAACATCCTATCTTGATTCTGAAATTTCAATGCACTCATTTTCAGTTCTATTATATTAACATTTATTTTAATCAATTTAATATTCAATTTTATTAAATTAATTTTCTTTATTTAATTTAAATTAAATTAACATTTCATCTCATCGAATCAACACAAAATTGATATTTAATTTTATCAAATTAGCATTTAGTTATATTAATTTAATATTAAGTTATTATATTATTTTTCTTAAATCAACATCAAATTGACATTCAATTTTATTAAATTAAAGTATTTAATTTATTAAATAGAATATTAAATTCCATTAATTTAAAATTTAATCCTATCAAATTAATGTCATTTCTTTAATTTAACACCAAATAAACATTTAATTTTATTAAAACAACATTCAAATTTATTCAATTAACATTAAATTCAATCAAATTAAAACTAAATTAATATTTAAATTTATCAAAATTAAGATCAAATTTATTCAATTAATATTAAATTTTATCAAATAATTTTAAATTTTATATATGAAGTATGATGTGTGAAGAGCGGTCGGACGACGTTGTCGAAGAAATATGATAGCAGAGGAATTAGAAATGGATATGATTTTGACATTGATTTTATCAATTGTAATTTTTATTATAGAAAAATCATTTTTAACTATAAAAATTATTATGATTAAAAAAATATAAAAATTATAAAAACTTGATTATGTAACAAAATGAGTAATAATACGATGACTAATATTATAACAAAGTTACAATACAACGTTTTAAAATAAAAAATTTATTGGGATAATATAATGATTGAAATTACGTTTGTTGGTTGACTAGCGCATATATAATGGGAAAAGAATTGATAACGTTTTAGTCTATTTACATAATAAAGGGTAATTTTAGTATTTTCACAAAATATTTAATTAAATCATTATTTTATCTACTAATAGAGACAAAAGTTATTGTTACAAGTGTTGTCATTGAATTTATATTCAACTACATGGTGTTTAGATGAAACTTTCCCTAGATATAACATGTAGATATAATATATCTTCTATCTGTGTACTATATATATGTACAGTAAAGATGTGTGTGTGATATGAATAGTAAAGATGAATAACAAATGCATTATGATAGAATTTTGGGGAGATATGTGTCTCAGTTTGGAAAGAGAATCATGAAAGATGAGAGTGTGAGAGACAGTCAATGTTTTAGTATAGGAAGCAATCCCTTAACATAGTAAATAAAATCAAGAAAATAATGATAAGAGTTGTAATCTGTATTTTAGGGAGAGAGAAAAATAGAGTTGAAAAATGAGAGATCGCTTAATTGTCGAATTTGATTGGGTTGAAGAATTGAATTTAGAGATTTTAGTTTTGGAAACTAAAAGTTTTGAGCGGAAAAAAATTTCAAAAGCTAATAGCTTGAGACAGTTTGAAATATATTCGATCGTTGGATGATGCCTTTTTTGATCTCGAAATGATCTGAGCTGCTCTTTGTCTCTTGAATTTAAAATCGTTCTATTTTATTATATAAATTGTAACTGATTGGTGTAACTGATTAGTGTAATTGTATTGTTGTAATGTTGATATAAATAGAGAGAGAAAAATGGTTAGAAAAAATATGGGGAAAGAGAGAAAATAAGGGAGAGAGATGAAAAGATAAATCAAATCTTTATATATTTGAAAAGAAAATAAATTATCAATGGTAGATATAGAGAGAAAATAGGGGAGATATAGTGAGGGAGTCTAATGAAATCTTTACATATTTAATTAGATATATAACTGTCAATCAACAATTCATAGATTAAGAGAGGGTATTTAGATAAAATAATTTTAATGTCATTTAAATTTTTTACCTAAATACAATATGTTTTATTAAAATTAAAATTAATAGAGTAAATAATTTATTTATTTATTTTTTTTCAAAAAAATCTAAAAAATTATACCCACTACCAAAAAACCATTCATAAAAGAGAGGCGTTGTTTGGATGAAAAGGCCTCAGTGGTCATTGGGTTTGGTAAGGTCATGGCCTATTTAGTGACTGCAACCCGGTGCATGGGCTGGGCTGGCTCGGTGGAAATATAGGCTTATAGTATTTTAATTCTTTTTGGACCGCATTACCGACATATGATTGAACTAAATGATTAAATTATTATTTTTTAGATCAAAATAACATTGGTCTGCATCATCTCTGCGTCATGTCGCCTTATCTGAATCGACAAAGCCTCACGAGTGCCCGAGACCTATTGGCAGTGTCCCTTCACATCACATTGTCGCCATCTAGGCCCTTTGTTTGTTAGGACGCTTTCGCTGTTATTGAAGACATTTGCAATTTGACAGCTAGGATTTTTAAGTAGTAGTATTAATAATTTAATATTGATAGTATAATTTTTATATTTTAAATATTAATTTATTTTTTAATTATATAATTTAAAATTAAAGAGAATATAAAGAAAATAAGAAAAAAAAGGAGAAAGATAAGTATAAATTAATGAGTTGTATAGACTAAATTGTCTGAGATTTGAGACTGTGCAAAGAAGGTGATATTTTTCAGTGAAAAAAAATTAAAATAAATTTTATATTATAGAATCAAAGTAAATACAAATTAAATTAATTTTAATCATTGTTATATTTTTATAATTTAACAATATATTTTTTAATTATAATATTAGATAGATATATGCCCTAATCGTTTTATGGTGGGGGGGGGGGGGGGGGGGGGGGGGACAACACAGAGTTCACTTGCCCATGCAATTTTTTATTTATTTTTTCCCATTCCTTGACTGATTCATCTCTACAAAACAGCACATTAATGCTTTTATTTTGATAATTCTAGACTTTTTGTGTCTTTAGGAATGTCTATTATGAAAGATCACCAAGATCAAAACCAATGCATAAGACAACCACGAGAAACTTACCCACAAATTTTTAGAAATTGTATACCTGCCAATACAAAAGCAATCGCCAAGCCTGCGGTGAGGAAAGTTTAAAACCATAGATCCAGAGAAACTTTTCGGGTTCACATTCGAACTAGCTAGATAAAATTATATATCTGACATTTTNGGGGGGGGGGGGGGGGGGTGATGGGGATTTGGGAGGATGACAGAATGAGAAAATGATTAACCTCATATGGTTTCATGAATTCAATGATGATATTTATATTTATTCATTCATGCCAGCCATTGATTATAATCTATGCATTGACTTGCAGCAGGTCTTTCATTGATATTATTTTTTATTTTCGTGCCACTATAGTTTACAATATTTGCATTGACACCTTTTGCAGCACTAAGTAAAGGATCTTAATATAATTGTTTATTTTCAAGAGACATAAGAATATATTAGTTTTAAATGTTAATTTTTTGTAACACCCTTTTTATACAGACTATGATTACTTTGACGGAGGTTTTCTCCATTACTTTTTTATTAAATTTATTTTATTCAAATATTAGATCATTTACGTTGCAGTTAAGTGAAATTCATTATTTGTATGTGGGTTTTTTACTTATATACGATGAGTGATCTATCATTGAATAAAACTNAGTTTACAATATTTGCATTGACACCTTTTGCAGCACTAAGTAAAGGATCTTAATATAATTGTTTATTTTCAAGAGACATAAGAATATATTAGTTTTAAATGTTAATTTTTTGTAACACCCTTTTTATACAGACTATGATTACTTTGACGGAGGTTTTCTCCATTACTTTTTTATTAAATTTATTTTATTCAAATATTAGATCATTTACGTTGAAGTTAAGTGAGATTCATTATTTGTATGTGGGTTTTTTACTTATATACGATGAGTGATCTATCATTGAATAAAATTATAATAAAGAATTTGGAACCTCGTTACTTCGATAATTTGAAAGGAATATATGCATTAATATACTTGAAAAATAAGTTTAGGTGGTCAAAATTAGTGGTTTCCCGTTAAGAGCAACAACAGATGGAGTGGATGACATTCGTAAGAGCATCTCCAACAGATGTTATAAATGAACAAAATAGCTAAAATTCAACAAATCAAAGCCAAAATTCATCTCCATCAGATGTTGTTCATACTATCTAAAATACATTTATGCTACAATAACCTCACTGTAGTAATATGTAAATATTATATATATTATTTTCTCTTTCTCCACCGTCTTTCCCGCCACTGGTTTCCCCTCCGCTGTCTTTCCCTCCACTTTGTCTATCTCCCTCTTGCACTGTTCTTCGTCTGGTCTTCTTCTTCAACTGGTTTACTTTAGCTGGTCTTCTTCTTGTCTTTGTAATTTTAACTCTGTTTTTTTGTCTCTGTTTTATGAGCTTGTTGAATGGATTCACAAGTGCAACGGAATGCATATTTCACCAATGTCTTACAGAAGGGGTCTCTTGATGATGAATTGGTTGAGTCCCCAAACCCGGTGAGTCAACTGTTGCCATCCTAAGTAGAAATAGAATGCAGTGCTAAAAAGTCATGTAGTGGAAATTTCACCATAGAAGAAGATAATCTTCTTGTATCAGGGTGGCTAAACACTAGTTTGGATGCGGTGCAAGGAAATGATCAATCGAAGAATACGTATTGGAAGAGAATTTGGGAGTACTTCCACAAGTATAAGACTTTTTCTTCTAATCGATCTAAGGTATCTCTTTTGAATCGATGGGGATCAATTCAAAAGTGCACAAATAAATTTTGTGCATACTTGGCCCAGATGGAGTCCATTAACCAAAGTGGAATGAATGAGCAAGACAAGGTATATATTCTATTCCTATTTTTTTATTATGTTAGAATGAATAAGTAGACATTCTCTTTGACCAATTTTAGGTGTTGTCTGCAACTGCTATGTTTCTGGTTCAATCTTTGATGCAATGGTCATTCCTTGACACAACAAGAATTCAAGTATAATTTTTGCAGTTGTTAGATTATTGACATATGGGGAAAGAACTTGATGCCGGTTTTGTAAATACTTTGCATCTTGGTGAAATATATCTGGTAGCATTCTTTATATTTCAAAAATAACGCAATTATGAGGGTTATTTTCTCTAATAGAAATGGGTTGTTGTTTGAATGAATTTCATAGCCATAGCCTCTTTATCTAGCTGATCTCCTGTTTGTGATGTTGAATGCTATGAGGGTGTTTAGCATTGATCGTAGTCTAAGTCATCATGGTTGAAGTTTGTTTATGGTGAATCTATATGGTAGCATGCTTGTTAGAGCTATTTTCATAACTTATATAACATTTGGAGTGAAATTTAAGTTGCATCAATTTGATGGAGAAACAGCNCCTCTTGCACTGTTCTTCGTCTGGTCTTCTTCTTCAACTGGTTTACTTTAGCTGGTCTTCTTCTTGTCTTTGTAATTTTAACTCTATTTTTTTGTCTCTGTTTTATGAGCTTGTTGAATGGATTCACAAGTGCAACGGAATGCATATTTCACCAATCTCTTACAGAAGGNCTAAAATTATTGTTAGTTCACGAACATGTCTAGAAACACATACCTTTCCAGGCAGTAGGGCAATTATTCCATCGCCAGTGCATGCAGTCAATGCTCCCTAACATCCCAGGAAAATCACGTCTTTCTCCAATTNCTAAAATTATTGTTAGTTCACGAACATGTCTAGAAACACATACCTTTCCAGGCAGTCGGGCAATTATTCCATCGCCAGTGCATGCAGTCAATGCTCCCTAACATCCCAGGAAAATCATGTCTTTCTCCAACTNTTAACCAAAGTGGAATGAATGAGCAAGACAAGGTATATATTCTATTCCTATTTTTTATTATGTTAGAATGAATAAGTAGACATTCTCTTTGACCAATTTTAGGTGTTGTCNCTAACATCCCAGGAAAATCATGTCTTTCTCCAATTTCTAACAATCTAGCTATGTCATTGCTATTTGGTGACCTTAAGTACTCGTCGGAAAAAATTGAAACCATTGCTTTAACAAATTTTTCTATACTCTCTATTGCAGTGCTTTCTTCAATTCTCACGTATTCGTCCAAAAAGTCGACCGCGACTCCATAAGCAAGGATTCTGATAGCAGGCATCATTTTTTGAAGANTGACCTTAAGTACTCGTCGGAAAAAATTGAAACCATTGCTTTAACAAATTTTTCTAAACTCTCTATTGCAGTGCTTTTTTCAATTCTCACGTATTCGTCCAAAAAGTCGACCGCGACTCCATAAGCAAGGATTCTGATAGCAGCCATCATTTTTTGAATANTTAACCAAAGTGGAATGAATGAGCAAGACAAGGTATATATTCTATTCCTATTTTTTTATTATGTTAGAATGAATAAGTAGACATTCTCTTTGACCAATTTTAGGTNGACAAGCCAAGCTTTCCAGCACAATTTCTTTTTTCAACAAAATATGGTTCGTGGGCCTCTAGCGCAGATTTTATTTGAAGAAAAAGAGAACGATTCATTCGAAATCTCCTCCAAAATAACTTTGCATCATATATTGGTGAATCTGCAAAGTAATCAAGAAAAAGCCTTTGGTGGCCATGCAAAGAATCACGTCTGATGATCGCATGGCCTGGAACAGAACCACATCGTGATGTGGATCCCCTCTTGCTGTTTTGAAGTTCATGTGCCAGAAGAACTTCTGTAACTATTTCTAACTCATCATCAGAGTCAGAGTCAGAGTCTTCGATTAGCATTTTGTATACTGGGTTATGAGNGCCTGGAACAGAACCACATCGTGATGTGGATCCCCTCTTGCTGTTTTGAAGTTCATTTGCCAGAAGAACTTCTGTAACTATTTCTAACTCATCATCAGAGTCAGAGTCAGAGTCTTCGATTAACATTTTGTATACTGGGTTATGAGTCATTGAGATAATACAGAGAAGGAAAGAAAATAGAAATTAGAGTGTAGGTGGAATGGACTTTGAACCAAAATGATCTTCTCTTCTTTATAGTCCACTGCCGTTAAAATAAAAATGGTCTGAACAAGCGGGGATTGCTGTGGACTTTGAACGAAAATAAAAATAGAGCCGTTTGAAAAATTTGATGGTTGAGAATGATGATTGTTTCAAAATTTTGTTGTTGAAAAGAATAATAATAAAAAAGAATGAGAAATAATATTTTAAGAAAGTAGTTAAAAATATATAAAATTTATTGGAGTGTGTATTGAAAAAGTGAGTAGCTAAAATAAAAAAAATTACTTTTTGGATATCTAAAATAACTACTATTGTTGGAGATGCTCTAAGAGTCCAAGAAAATCAATAAGCTTTTANAATATATAAAATTTATTGGAGTGTGTATTGAAAAAGTGAGTAGCTAAAATAAAAAATTACTTTTTGGATAGCTAAAATAACTACTATTGTTGGAGATGCTCTAAGAGTCCAAGAAAATCAATAAGCTTTGAATCCCACATCGATTGCGTCAAAAGGCTCAAGTTGATTGAGTTATCCAAATTTTGATTAAAATTTATCCATATTACACTTTTTTTGTCTAGAACTATTCAAATTTTGGTTAAGAGTTATTCAATTTAGGTATTACATGACAAGTATGATAAAAAATCATTAGTAATCTAGACATTGTCTGTTTGAGGAACCATATAAAAAAATATTCAATACTTCAAGGACTAAAATGATGCAATTAATATATATATATATATAATTTTATGATAATTAGTTTGTGCTTTACCGTGTGATGAACAAGCTTTACCTTGTTCTGATTCATCTTTATCATATAAAGAATTACTTATTGGTATCAAAGCGAAGTAATGACAGTTTAAAGCTATTCTATTGATTTATATGCTGATTTACTACTAATTTATGTTGTTTATGTAATTGTAATTTAATTCTGTTATACTAATATTATTTTGAATTTGGTCAAAAGTTATCTAAATTTTTTTTTTTCATATTTAAGTATTATGTGACAAATTTATAATAAAAAATAATTATAATCTNTCTGTTATACTAATATTATTTTGAATTTGGTCAAAAGTTATCTAAATTTTTTTTTTCATATTTAAGTATTATGTGACAAATTTATGATAAAAAATAATTATAATTTNTTATTTTGAATTTGGTCAAAAGTTATCTAAATTTTTTTTTTTCATATTTAAGTATTATGTGACAAATTTATAATAAAAAATAATTATAATCTGTCTGTTGTCTGCTTAAGGGGTCACATAGAAATATATTTACTATTTTAGGGCTTAAAATGATAATTGAAATATTCAAGGCTAAAATAAAATAAACTCCATATTTTAGGGACTACCATTACAATTATCCAAAAAAAAAACAAAGAGAAGTGGGGGACAAGTCTATATAACCTTCCAAATCTGTATAGTGGACAAGACGATGGTGTATACTGTGGTTAGTACCTCGTTGCAGATTAGGAGCATCTTCTGCAATGTAAGATAACTCAATTAATATATTTTTTAATATTAAATAATTTTATTAATTCACACTTATCTCACTCTTCACTTTAATTTTAAATCATAATTAAAATATATATTTATTTTACTATCTAAAATATAAATATTATAGGATTTTTAATATTGTAGAGTCAATTCAAACACGGTATTACTAATTTATAAATGTGTACAAAATAAAAAATAACACATATTGAAGTGTTAGTTGTCAATGTAGAATCAACTTCCTAAAATTCAACAAAATCTTTATATAATGTTTCTTTCTAAAAGCAGATACACTTACCTTTCTGACACTTTATTCATAATCCATTGTTTCTCTTTGTGAAGCAAAACCAATCAATGGTGGCTTCTCTTCCATGCAAGACTTCAATCTCACTTTCTGCATTCCTATTATGTTCAATTCTTCTACCATGTACCATCACCTTACTCCACTTACCATCTCTCTCCTCTGCTAATGGCAATGAGACCGACAGGCTTGCCTTGCTTGCTATTAAAGCACAGATAACCCATGACCCTCTCGGAATCACAACTTCATGGAACGATTCAGTACATTTCTGCAACTGGGTAGGAATCACTTGTGGTAAGCTTCACCGGAGAGTGACCAACTTGAACTTAATGTCACTTAATTTGGTGGGTTCTTTATCACCGTACGTCGGAAACCTCACCTTCCTCGCCGGTATAAATCTTGAACTTAACAATTTCCATGGTGAAATCCCACCGGAAATTGGCGGTTTATACAGGCTCAGACACCTTAATTTGACCAATAACTCGTTTTCTGGCGAGATTCCGGTTAATCTTTCTCAATGTGCTGGTCTCGTGCTGATTCGTTTTGGCTGGAACAGATTAATTGGGAAAATCCCAATTCAACTTGGGTCACTGCAGAAACTAGAGAAAATTCACCTACACTATAACAATCTCACTGGGTTCATCCCAGACTCTTTTGGCAACCTTTCTTCAATAAAATCCTTTTCTCTGGCAGCTAATAATTTAGAGGGAAACATTCCTGATGCACTTGGCCGGTTGAGCAATTTGAATTTTCTTGGATTGGGTGTGAATCAATTGTCTGGTACAATTCCTCACTCAGTTCTCAATATTTCATCTCTTGTAACCTTTAGCTTGCCATTTAATCAGTTACATGGCAGTTTGCCATTAGACCTGGGCTTCACTCTTCCTAATTTGCAAGTGATTGATGTTGGTCATAATGGGTTTAGTGGCATCCTTCCAGTTTCATTATCTAATGCTTCAAATCTTGTTGAATTTGATGTTACTGGGAGTAACTTCACTGGAAAAGTTTCAATTGATTTTGGAGGCTTATCTGATCTTTCGTTGCTGATTCTTACTTCCAATCCCCTTGGGAAAGGGGAAGCTGATGACTTGAGTTTCTTGAACTCCCTCACTAGATGTAGAAATTTGAAAATGTTGGATTTAGGTGATTGCCAGTTTGGAGGTGTGTTGCCTGATTCTATAGCAAATTTATCTACAGATCTTTGGGCCTTAAGATTGGGAAATAATCAACTGTCTGGAAGCATTCCAAGTGGGATTGAGAACCTTGTTAACTTGACTGAACTGCAGTTGCAAAAAAATAAATTAACAGGGAGCATTCCCTCTGTTATTGGTAAATTAAAGATGCTACAGCTATTGGATTTGTCTGAAAATGAGCTTTCAGGTTACCTTCCATCATTTATGTCAAACATAACTCGCTTATTTACACTTCATCTTGAAAATAATCAATTAGTTGGGAGCATCCCTCCCAATTTTGGTAATTTCCAACACTTGCAAGAGCTAGACCTTTCTCAAAACCATCTCAATGGCACCATACCCAAAAGAGTTATGGGTCTTTCTTCGCTAACAATTTCCTTGAACCTAGCTCAAAATCGGTTGTCTGGCCCCCTACCTTTGGAAATGGGTGCCTTGAAAAATCTTGGTTACTTGGATGTTTCAGAAAACATTTTGTCTGGTGAAATTCCTGATAGTATTGGAAGTTGTGTAACCTTGGAAAGCCTTCGAATGGAGGGCAACTTCTTTGAAGGTTCCATTCCTCCATCTTTCAGTTCTCTGCGAGGTCTTCAGGACCTAGACCTTTCGCGCAACAACTTATCAGGCCAAATTCCTGAGTATTTTCAGAAGATTTCCCTTAAGAGCTTGAATTTGTCTTTCAACAAATTTGAGGGTGTGCTACCAGAGGAAGGGGTTTTTAAGAATGCCACTGCAATTTCTGTAGTTGGGAATGATAAGCTTTGTGGGGGTATAACAGAATTACAGTTGCCAGCTTGCCAGCAGAATGAACGAAAGAAAAGAGAAACATCTCGCAGTCTGAGGCTAATGATCCCACTACTTTCTGGACTTCTGGCTCTTGTTTTGATTATTTCTCTATTAATCATCAAGCGGTTAAGAAAGGCAAAAAGGGAGCCTTCCATTGCATCTTCATTTACAAATGGCTTGTTTTTGAGTGTCACCTATGAAAGTCTTTTTAAAGCTACGGGGGGATTTTCTTCTGCCAATTTGATTGGCACTGGTAGCTTTGGGTCAGTGTACAAGGGTATACTTGACCAAGATGAAAAAGTCGTTGCAGTGAAGGTGCTAGACCTACAACAGAGAGGCTCTTTTAAGAGCTTCATGGCTGAGTGTGAAGCATTAAGAAACATTCGGCATCGAAATCTTGTCAAAATTTTAACAACTTGCTCAACTATTGATTTTCAAGGGCAAGAGTTTAAAGCTTTAGTCTATGAGTTCATGCCTAATGGGAATTTAGATAGTTGGCTGCATTCTGTTCCAAAAGCTGAGGCTATGAATGAGGATCTGAGGATCTTAGACCTTCTTCAAAGAATGAAAATTGCCATCGATGTGGCTTGTGCCCTGGAATATCTTCATCACCATTGCCACAGGTCAATTGTTCATTGCGATTTGAAGCCAAGTAATGTTCTTCTTGACAATGACATGACTGCTCATGTGGGNAAATTGCCATCGATGTGGCTTGTGCCCTGGAATATCTTCATCACCATTGCCACAGGCCAATTGTTCATTGCGATTTGAAGCCAAGTAATGTTCTTCTTGACAATGACATGACTGCTCATGTGGGCGATTTTGGATTATCAAGGTTCATTTCAGAAGCCATGAGTAAATCACATCCTAATCAAAGCAGCTCAATTGTAATCAGAGGAACTATTGGATATGCTGCGCCTGGTAATCTTGTTCTTTCTGATATAGTTTACGAGATGTTTTCTTGCATTACATGAGAACAGCTTCTAATTAATTTTAGTGGAAGGACTGAAATGTGGATTTTTGTTTAGGACAGATTTAGTTTCTTGAAACTCGTTGTATTTTAGATAGGAAGGAACTTTCATGACTAAACTAACTTAACCCCCGACTTTTATTACTGAGTAGAAAGCCAACTAGTGACAGGTACATATTGCCGTTATATGGTTCTAACTATCAATGCTACAAATGAGTGTTGCAGAGTATGGCATGGGAAGCAAGGCGTCAACATGCGGTGATGTATACAGCTATGGCATCCTCTTGTTGGAGATGTTTACTGGAAAAATGCCTACTGATGACATGTTTCAAGATGGACTGAATCTCCACAATTATGTTAAGATGGCATTGCCTGAGAGAATAGCTGAAATTTTGGACCCAGAGGTTCTTCATAGTGGAGAAGAAGAAGAGGTTGAGACCACTACACCAGACAATGGTAGTATGGAACAAGAAGAGGATGAGACGACTGCCCCAGAAAATGGTAGTATGGAACAAGTAGATCAAGTGAAAGAATGCTTGATATCTATCCTCAGAATCGGACTAGCTTGTTCGGTGGAATTGCCTAGAGAACGCATGGACATTAACGACGTTGTCAGAGAATTACAGTTGATTAGAGACATTCTATTAGCCTCAGGGGTGAGTTACAGCTCAACCAGCGGGTAAAACTACTTTCTTACTTTATGGATTTAATTTTTCAACAGCTAAACTAAAAATTTCTGAATAAATTTCATTATAGTATCAAAGGGAGTGTAGCCCCCAACTGATTTTGGCTGATTCAATGTCAACAAATATAGTATTTAAGGTGATTGTATCTCCAATTTAATGAACAATGTCTTATTAGATTAACTGGTTTAGATAGGCCTTGTCTTGTGGATTCGACATAAATCTTGTTTAAAGTCGACCTATTTAACTTAGTTGATGTAAGGCGTAATTTGCTAGAGTCTGATTAATTTCATTTTTCTTATTTCATACCAGGAGCATGAGGTTTGGAGGTTCTTCCACTCATTCCACCGCGAGTAACTGGCAAAATGTATTGTAATGTACTCCAAATTTGTTACTCCAGAAGTTATGGTTTACCTTTAAAGCCTGATATGTTTCCCATGCCATCTGGTGACAGATCATTATACACCAGTGTATGTAGTTCTGCTTAACATGATGATCAGTACTCTCCTGTAATTGTATCCCTTTTCTTCATGTAGAAATTTCACTCTATCTTGAGAAATGTTCGCAACAGAAACCAAAGTATCATTACAGCTTTTTCATATATGTATTTTAAAGGCGATTTTAGCGCTTTTGTTCAAGATTTTGTGCCCAAAGGAAGCCTACAGCGATAGTTGCATCAAGATAGCGAATATGACTCGAAGTTTGAATTTTGTCAAGAATTAATGTGGCTTCCGGGCTGCATTATCTTCATCATGAATGTGAAGCATCCATTGTTCATTGTGATCATAAGCCAAGCAATGTTCTTCTCAACAGTAGGATGAGTGCCTGTTTTAAGTGATTTTGGTTTTACCTAGGCTACTATCAGGACTCCAAACTGTCTCAGAATCAATTCAGCTCAATTGGGGAGTTCTTGAGATAAAAAAAAAAAACAAAAGTAAAAAACACGATAAGAATACAACAAACATATTTGGTGATGCTTAGTCATACTCTTCCGCTTCTCTTCCTAAATCCTAGAAAGGAGTCCTTGATCTTCTGCAGTTTGTTCACAACAACACTCATCTGTAGTCGTTCCATTGGTGATGGAGTAGAGCATGACAGTCCAATTTTCATCACTGATACCAAGCATTCCACCATTTGATTTCTACTAGGAGTGCATTGGGGATCATCATCCTTGATTATTGCTCTTTCTTCTTCGTCGTCTTCATTCTCGTCTAAGTTATCTTCTTCTTCAGCCAAGAGCAATGATGGGTCTACTACCTCCATGACATTTTCAGGCAAAGCCATTGCCACCAACTGGGGAAGGTTTAGACCATTTGTGAAGATGTCTTCTGTTGGTCTTTTACCGGTGAATACCTCTAGCAAGAGTATCCCATAGCTGTAAACATCACCTAGTGTGGAGACTTGGCCACCCATAACATACTCTGCAATTTCATAATGAACTTTCCTGAGGATATTGAACCATATATTCTTTCAAGGGAAGACTACGGTATCAAAAAGTTATTTTTTGTTATCATGANGGGAAGGTTTAGACCATTTGTGAAGATGTCTTCTGTTGGTCTTTTACCGGTGAATATCTCTAGCAAGAGTATCCCATAGCTGTAAACATCACCTAGTGTGGAGACTTGGCCACCCATACCATACTCTGCAATTTCATAATGAACTTTCATGAGTATATTGAATCATATAGACTTGTAAAGGAAAAATATTGTACCAAAGAGGTACTTTTTGTTATTGTATTGTTGTTTTATGGAAGTTATAACCCAATAGGTCATAATTCAATGAGATGAGCTTACAATATAGTCGAATCGTTTTGGATAGATGCTAAAATGTTAGAACTGATCCTTCTCAATATTTAAGGAATAATCCCTACTCTTTTTGAATCGTTGGTTGACCACCATTGAGTCGTCGCAAGTTTACTATAATAGTATTGTAATTAACCCTATTGAGTCATATAACCGTATTCCAAAGGAAATGTAAAAATTAACCTATTGTAGTTTTAGAATTCCGAATAACTTGTCAGTGTGGAAACCTTTTAAGACACATAAAAGGTTACCAAAGATAAAGACTAAAATAAAATCTATGAAAACCTACCTGGAGGAATGTACCCGACAGAACCTTTTAGCCCAATTGATATGGAGTGATATTTGGAGGGATTGTTTGGTGCTTCAAAAAGGAATCTTGCCAATCCAAAGTCACCAACATGAGCCGTCATATCCTCATCAAGGATTACATTACTTGGCTTTAGATCACAGTGAACAATTGGTGTTTCACAATGGTGATGAAGATAATCCAATGCAGAAGCAACATCCATAGCTATGTTTAGTCTCTGAATGATGCTCAAGTTCTTGGTATTACGCTGCTCACCATCTTTTGGATGCAGCCAAAAGTCTAGGCTTCCATTGGACATGAACTCAAAAATTAGACATTTGAAGTCATTACCTTGATAGTCGACGCTTGAACAGGCAGTGATGATCTTGAGCAGGTTACGGTGCCTTATACTTTTCAGAGCTTTGCATTCATCTATGAAACTCTTGTAAGCCCCTTGTTGTTCAAGGTTTAATACTTTTATTGCCACCTTTGCACCATCACCATTTACAACTCCTTTGTAGACAGAACCAAAACTACCAGAACCGATCAAATTGTCCATTGAAAATCCATTTGTTGATTTAACAACATCTGCATATGAAACACCTGATTGCCAATCCTTTGTGGAGGATGCTTTTAAAAGTTCTGTTTTTGGGTTCCTTATCGTACACCAAGCAGCAAAAGAACACAACAATATTACTATAAGCACAATCGATACAGTTACCGGGATTAATACTCTCAGGGTAAGGAGTTTTGCTGATGAGTGGGAGTTACCTTGAGAGCATGCCGGCAGATGTAATTCCAGGACACCTCCACATAACTGATTGTTTCCTAGGATACTAATTGCACTTACATTTGCAAAGATGCCTTCCCTCGACACTTCGCCCTTAAAATTATTGAATGAAAGATCGAGTTTCTTGAGAAAAGAAAACTTTCCCAGAAATTTTGGAATCTGTCCGGACAAGTTATTTTGTGAAAGGTCAATCTCTTCCAACCCTCTCAATGTTTTCAAACTTTCAGGAATGGTTCCTTGAAGTAAATTACCCTTCATTAGCAGGCGCTCCAAAAGAAGACAGCTGCTGAGGGTGCTTGGAATTTGACCTGATAATCTGTTATCCGAAACGTCCAGCTCCACGAGGTTTATCAACTTGCCAACTTCAGAAGGAAGGGAACCAGTCAAAAAGTTATGAGCCATTGCCAAAGAAATTGTAAGGGAAGAGATAGCCATGACCTCTTTTGGTATTGTCCCGCTGAGATTGTTACTACTAAGGACCAATATCTCAAGCTTGTGGCATTTTCCAAGGCTTGAGGGAATGCTTCCTTCTAGTCTATTGTCATCGATAAAGAGCATGTTTAATGATGTCAAGTTACCAAGGGAGGATGGAATCGGTCCAGACAAATTGTTAGCATTCAAATACAGTTTTCCCAAATGTTGAAGTTTCCCCATAGCATCAGGGACTCTGCCAGTTAGGAAGTTCCCTTCCAGGCCTAGATTGGTCAAGTTGGTAAGGTTCCCGATTTCATAAGGAATGCTGCCATATATCAGATTGGAACCGAGAGTAAGCATTTTGAGGTTGGTTGAAAGGTTAGCTACAGAGTTGGGCAGCTTTCCGCCAAATAGATTTCCAACCAAGCCCAACTCTTCTAGACTAGTACAATTTGTCAAGAAAGTAAGCAGGTTGCCAATATCCTCATTTCCTAGCTTATTATAATCAAATATAATTCTGTATATAGCTTGCAAGCTTCCAAGATTCGTTGGCACAGTCCCAGTGAGACTATTTTCAGGAAAATCGAGCATTTGAAGGCCAGAAGCATTCGGTAATGAGACAGGAATTGGACCAGAGAAGTTATTTCCGCCCCCATAAAATTCCTTAAGATTGGGAAGGGTAAAGCCGATGTCCGATGGGAGTTGCCCGTGTAACTGGTTCCGAGCAAAAGAAAAAAAGAAAATTGATGAAATATTATAAATTGACGAAGGAATCGAACCAGAGATTTCATTTGAAGAAATTTGAAAGAATTTCAGGCTTGAAAGGCTTCCTAGTTCATGAGGAATATTTCCTTGAAGATTGTTTTGCACAAGTGAAATAGCGACTAGAGACGAACAATTCCCTATCCAAGCTGGGATGCGGCCTGTGAGATTGTTAGCACCAAGACCCCAATATAACATTTGTGAGAGTGAGCTGAGCTGGTCTGGAATCGGCCCAACAAGCTCATTATATACTAAATCAAGCACTGTAAGTTCTGAGCAGTGTGTGAGATTAGTCGGAATATGTCCAACAAAGGCATTTTGACTGAAATTGAGATGTTGTAGGAGTCTTAAGCGTCCCATTTCTTGTGGAATTTCACCATTGAAGCTATTGTTTTGAAGGTTGATACCAGTTAGAAATGTCAAGTTACCTATGGAGGGTGGTATGGAGCCAACCAATCTTTGTGACTCCAAGTTCAGAATCATGACTCTCCCATTGGAGGGACTACATGTAACACCTACCCACTTGCAGAAATGAAGAGAAGCATTCCATAAGCTCATAATTTGAAGTGGATCCTGAGTTATCCGATTCTTGAAGTCGAGCAAAACTTGACCATCTGTCTCATTACTAAAAGTTGGTACGGCTGCTGATTCAAAACCCGAGTTCATGACCAACAGAAGACTCCCCAAGAGGATACTTGATAAGAAACACCCGGAATTCAAACAAGAAAACACCATTTTGTTGGCAATACTGAAACAATGTAAGGGGCTCAAGACTATGGACTAAATTTAAAAGCAAGCTAACAAAAACTAGCTCAGAAGAGAAGGCTACATATGGAAGAAAAATTTAATTGTTGCCGTGTTGATCTAATTGATAGCATAATATGGACTTTTGGAAGGAATAAAAGAGGGTGGTCCAGAGGTGGATGGTTGAGTTGAATTTTGGATTTGTTGTTTTGCTGGTCCAGTTTTTGGTATTATACCTCCTCAATTCATCCAATAAAAACAAGACAAGTAAAATTGTATTTATGTTATTATTTTATGTAGTTTATTATTTTCATGATCAACACCCTCAAACAAATCAAACAAAGATCTCTGATTATAATTATTTTCCTGCATATCCTCCTGATGGAAAGATTATCATGGCTTTTAGCTAAGTATTGAACATCATGCATAGTACCATATAATACTCCCAAATGTATTCATCCTAAGATATTTTATTTAACGTGTAGTTTTGGCATACAAGATGACATGATATGCAAAACTAAGTTGAAAAATTGGCACAAAACTTGACTTTTCTTGGCTAGAATTTTTGTTGGCCACTGAAGTCATTTAAAGCAGGACATTGCATTAAATAAAAGAATGACTTTTGTGGCATGGAGGCTTGACAAACATATCAATTTCAGGTTACACTTTATTGGAGATATTATTTTTTAGTATTATTGCAGTGAAGAAAATCACTACAGCAAAGAATCCAGCTGTCATGATGATGACTGAGGTAGTCCCAGCAAGTGCGAGCATTGCTCTGTCTTGATCACCATCCTACTAGTTTGAGGAGCTTTTATCCTGACTCATGCTTTTTTTTCAAATTTGTACCCAAAATAGGATAGTTTTTTAAACTATTTTTAAACCTAAATAATTTTAAAAATATCATTCCAATCGGCGTTTTTAGAAAAAAATGATATTAGTTGAACTGACTTTTTATGTAAAAATATTATTCAAACAAACGTTTTTAAAAATATTTTATTTTTTAATAAGGTCAGTTAAAACGTTGGTTAGACGAAAGTCTCCATAAAAACGTTGGTTGCTATCTGACCCTTTCTCTTCTTTCCCTTCTGCCTTCGTTCTCTCATTTTTCCCAAAGATCTAATTCGAAATCACAGATCCCCATCCGAAACCACCAACATTACCACCACCATCACTATCCCACAGCCCCAACACCAACACCATCTGAAACCCCAACTCCAGCACCACCACCACCACCGCCATTCGAAACCCCCATAACTAGCACCACCATTAGAAACCACCAGCTCAGTCCCAGCCCCAGCAAAACCACCATTGTTGACTGTTTGTGGCCACCGAGCTTCTGGGTTGAAAGTCCATCGGAGTTTGTGATTTCTTCAGCTTAGTATGGGTTTTTTTTTTCCTTCTTGTCTTCGGGATGTGTTGTTTTAGGGAAGTGAGGAAAGGGATTGGTGGTGATATTGACAGAGAACGTGCTATCGATTTTTTGTGTATCATTCACATCTCCAAAGCCAAAGCCAAAGTCGAAGTTAGGTTCGCATTGCTATGTTTTCTAATCATGATCTATTATTATTATTATTATTATTTTTGTGTAATGCGTTGTTAATCCAATTCTTAGCCCATACCGGAATTAGTTTGAGGGTTTTTTGTTATGGATTCAGTTTTGGGACCTTATACGGTTAGATCTGACGGGTCTTTTTGTTAGTGTGAGATTTTTTAACTTTTCTCTTCGACCAAATCGTCACCGGCCAAGTCGTCTGTTTGAACAAAGCTTTTGGTGGCAAATCATCGAGCTGGATTGTATGTGAGGCAGCTTCCATTTGAAACCCAAGAATCCAGGTCCCATTCCCTTGATTTTATTGGATTTATTTTTAATATTTCTTTCTACTTGATATGTTTAGTTCATCATTTTCATATTTGTTCTTCAAATTATCCTCTTTTGATGTATTATTTGCGTTTGAAATTGCTATAGCCCATTTGCTGGTAATTATGGTTTTTATCTTTTGTTTTTTTTTAATCTGGATTGATTGTTATTGGTTGTTGTAGAGAGTTCTGATTGGAATGTGAAATTCGTGGCTTGATGATTGTCTTTTTTTGTTCTAGCTAATCTGTCCTGATAAAAAAAGACTTGCATAATTCGAGGTTTTCAGTTTGAGTACATAGTTATGACGTGTGTATTTTTTTTTGACTGATTTAATTCTTTTTAATTGAAATCATTTAGTGGTTATTTTTTTCAGAGGGCACTGCAGCCAATCTGATAAAACTGCTCAAATCAGGTTTGTCTCTATACAAATTGTATATTATCAATAGAGTTGATGGTGGCAGTGGTGGTATTGACTAGGTTGTTTTTCATACTTTTAGTATTTTGTAATTCAGTTGGTTGATGTTTTATCCTTTAAACTTTTAGTCCAAGTACTTCTTCCAGCAGCTTATCTTTGGAGTCCACTATTATCACCATATGGTAAAATGTGTTTGACAATGATAGCATTTATTCATTTGTATGTTTATGTGAGTGTAATTTGTCTACTTATCTCTGCCTGGTGTTGAGCCTTTCCGAATGAATCAAGTATGAATTATTGTAAATATTTTTGTTAGAAATTTATCTCTTTTCCTTGGAATTGACATACTTCAATTGATTTTCCTGCCCTGTAGCAAATATGCCATAGAGAATTGATACTGGAGAATACCCTTTTGGATGGAAGCCCTACTCCAAGGCTGAAAATCTGTGATTTTGCTTACTCGAAGGTATACATTACAAATTTTTTGTCGGTTTATATTACATAATTTCATTAGCAGAGTTGATGCAATTTTGAGTCATCTTTCCAGCCCGGACATTTTTTAATATGGTGATTAAAAATTTGGATTTCTCTCAATTGCTACATTTTTCTTAATATGTATTGTTCCTTTGTGGAGTATGGGGGATGAGTCAAGAGGATTGTATCGCACTTTAGATAGCAGTAATTTCTCAAGAAGCTTATTGTTGAACTTGAATCAGTTCATGGTAAGAATTTTGTTTCAAGTATGATGATTGGGTTTGGTATTTTAATTCACATGTCTTACTTTTTCCCCATTATGGTAGTATTGTTTAAATGAATTTTTCAATTGAATTGAGTTTTCTCTCCCTTCCTACTCCCTCCTTCACTTTTCCTTAATTTGTAGGAACAAATTTGTCTGATTTCATATTATTAGTGAAGGGAGTTTCACATATTTGTTGTAGACTAATCACTAGAAGGTGAGAGAGATAATGAGTGAGGTTTGATATGTAGAATAATATGAAATTTTTTATTTTTGTCGTGTTTTCAGTTTATTATTGATTTATTTCTTTTGCTGTGAGTTGACAACAAAAGCATTACAACACCTTGAGCTAATAGAGATCTTTTTGATTGATCGATATATGAGAAATATGGGATGCTAGCAGAGTAAACAAGTTTACATTTGAATGATATATTTTTTATTTTATTGAAAACTGCTAAAAAATTTAGTATTGGTGGTGTGACAATGGAAAGTGGAAGGATTTGTGTACATGTTATGGGGTCCATTTTTTAAGGAATTTTTGCCCATTTCTTTTGAATTTTTTTGGCCCAACTTATTCGATCCCTTTAATGTATTATATGTGTCACTTTCCCCTCTTTCTAATGCTCATTTTTTTATTGGCAATTATTCTTATTAAATAGTGTCTTTAGGCATGAGCATATTTGTATTTTGGAGTGTGTTTTTTGAATTTGTATATCATACGAATTAAGTCCAATGTTTAATTTTGAGTATACAGTTTCATATATTTTTTTAAAATTTTTTATTGTTGTAGAGTGCTAGAAATTTATTCAATCTCCTTGTGCAATAGATTTGAGTTGTGTACAAAGATTATACTGCTCTTTTTTTTTTGGTCAAAAGATTGTAATTGTTCAAAGGTCATGTTTTTAGAGAATTTTTTAAAAATAATAGTCGACTTATATTGATTGGAGTTTTTTTTTTTTCCAATTTTTAATTGATGAGATTGTGTTATGTTGGACACATATTGATTGACAATTTTTTTCTCAATTTTTTTGATTGACCATTTTTTTTTTGTGTTATATAATGTCTTCAAGCATGAGCATTTGTTTGCTATTTTTTTATTGTAACACAGTGCTTTCAGGCACAGGTAATTACTAGTGTATATATATACCTCTAACTTATATATGGATATAGATAGATAAGAGAGAGAAAATTTTAATGTTAGTCAAACTCTTAACTTATATATGGATATAGATAAATATGAAAGATATAAGATTTTAATGTTATTCAAACTCTTAAGATTTATGAGTTTTTAATTTTTAGTTTTATTTCATTTCTAAAGGGAAGGAATAATATGGTAAATTGGCAAAAAAATAGACTTTATAACAAATAAGTTTTTTTTACGGACTTAAATCCAAACAAGTTTATATAGGGATACCGGCCTCTAAATTTCTCAAAAAATAAAAGTTACAACACACAAGCTATGGCTAAGACTCGGTGAAAGGCCCATGATCCATGTACAAACCTAAAATCATTGTGGTACATCTGACCATGGGCCAGTCTAGTCTGTCATAAGGAGGTCCATGGTAGCCCATTAAGCCAGTGGCTTGTTGACCATAGCAATCATGAATTGGCCACCCCTTTTAAAAAGAATTACAAAGAGTTGGTTATATCATCTTCAATAAACTCTTTATCCCCACTTGACCATGTCACATTTTGATTTAATACAATTTTAAGGATGTCATAGAAGAAGTGGGTACCTAAAGAAACACTTTTGGCCTAATGGGAGAATTTTAAGCCGATCATAATCACTAACGCTAATATTACTTTTATTGATTAAAATAAATAATTAATATTACAGGAAGATCGTTTGATATTTTGTTAGTTTTTCAGTGAAGAAAAATAAAATAAAGTTAAAAAAATGTTTGTTTTTTATCCTTTAGTCTAGCAGGCTGCGGGGAAGGCACACGGCCTACCCGCCGAGCTAAAGGGCTGGACTATGA